ACACACACACACACACACACACACACACACACACACACACACACACACACAGGGTGGGGTGAGCTTCCTCACAGTCACAGCTGAAGAACTTGGCTCTGAGTCGACACACTAAGCAGATTAACGGTGTGAGGAGTCTTAAAGGGACCTCACAATGAAAGGTTTCCTGTGAGGAGACCCGGGTCAGACCCAGAACCCGGGTCAGACCCAGGACTCTGTGGAGGGACTTTACGTCCTCTCTGAGGAGCTGCCCTCCTGCTTCATCTCTTTCTGATTCTTCAGTCTTTGACCTGTTCAGGTCTTCAGTAGAGATGTGACGTTCACAAACGATCCGAATCTTTTGAACGACTCTTTACAACGAACGACAGGAGCCGAACTGCAGGCGGTAACGACCCATTTGTAGTTTTATTTCTTTATTCTTTCAAACTCAAATCACTCCCGCTTTGCTTTTTGGCAGAAAACAGGCAGAGTTGTGGAGTACATAAGCTCACGGTGAGGAGGTTCCACCCACGTGACGGGATGACATCATTACGTACAGCTACGTGATGACGTAATACGTTCAAAACCAAACGGTTCTTTTGAAACAAACGGCTCCCTAAGATCCGGATCCCTTCAGAGAGCCGTTTGTCCCGTCTCCAGTTTTCAGGCTCCATGGTTAAATCATCTGCTGGTGGTAAGATACTGACTACTAACAACCACTCAACATAACCCTTCGATGTTCATGTCAGAACGTCCTGTTGAAGCACGGTGGTGGTGGTACCATGGTCTCATGGTTCTGTTGGACCGGTTTGAGGAGGAATTTGACCCAGAAAGTTGAACCGGAGATTAATGCTGCGTTCACGGACACACATCTTATTGGATTTAACACAACAACAAATACACAAACTGTTACAGTTACACCCCACCCCCCCCTGCTGTTGCCCCCCTCACCTCCGCAGTGACAACTTCCGCTCAGCACGAGCAGCAGTCCGCAGACCTTCAACAGACCTTCTCTTCCTCCCATCATCATCATCATCATCATCATCTTCTTCTCTTGTTAAATTATCCTTCCCTGTAGGTTCGGTTCGGTTCGGTTCTCAGTCCTGTCCCCTCCCGCGCCGCTTCATGCCAACAAACGCCCCGCCGAGCTTTTCTTCCTCGGCCGAGCCATGATCCCTGCCCGTCCCGGAGACTGGATGATCCAAACGGGCGGCTTCAGCCGGGGTTCGGTTCGGTTCGGTTCGGACCGCGTCCCGCTGCTGTTTCGACTCGGTTCGTCCCAGTTCTATGGGTTTTCTGTTGTTGGACTGGGTCCTGCTGGAGTGGAGTCCGTCCTCTCTCGGAGCTTCTCTGAACCCGTGAAGGCAGCGGAAATGACCGACACTTCCGGTGCAGCGTTTCAAAATAAGATTAAAAGTAAAAATAAAAAATTGTGTAGCTGTGGCCGATTTGTTATGCCTGACAGAAAGTGTTGCGTTCAGTTGTCAGTGTTGTATAAAGTACCACAAAGTAATACTTGAGTAAAAGTACAAGTATCTTACCAAAAAAGTACTTTGTTAAAAGTTAAAGTCTCCTTTAGGAATATTACTTGAGTAAAAGTCTTAAAGTATCTGATATTTTTTGTACTTAAGTATTAAAAGCAGGGCTGTGAAATTAATCGAGTTAACGCATATTGATTAATTTTAGTGCTGGGCATAGATTAAATTTTTTAATTGCGATTAATCTAACTTTTTTCTTTTATTTGTTTACAAACAATGACTTTACTCTGGCTGAAAATGCAGGTTTGTATATTACAAAGCACTCAGTGTCAGGTCATGTTTGTAAATGAGAAGTGCTTCTTGAACAGTTTACCTGGATAAATAAATGTTAAATAAATAAAGTAAATATCAAAAAACACCCTGTGTAACACATTATGTACAGTTTTTTTCTTTTTGTCTTCTTATGGCTTATTTTATTTTATTTATTTATRTTTTGCTGACAAATGTGACCTCAGTATGTATCTTTCATTCCTCAGTTATTCTGCACAAAATGTAACTGACTCAAATATATATTTGGAGCATTTTTAGGTCCTGTTTTATATTCAAAAAATCATGTCTAAGCATCAATTTTGTTTTCTAAATAAAAACATTAAAAACTAATTAATAAGTAATGTATTTTACCAATATGCAATAGAAATGTATATTAA